TTTTGTTCGTTCAAAATTTATATTGGTGTTGTTATTATTAGTGCGGTTCATTATGAAAATATTATTTGATCGCAGTTACTTACAATTAGGAGTCGTTATGACTTGATGCTTCTCTCCTATCCAAAACGGCAGTGCATTCGTCTTCTCCCGACATCAGCGCCGAGAATTATACTGAATTGCTGTTGTTATTGTAACGCAGAGAATCATCCACTTTAAGAATTTCTAATCTCGGTGATCACAATGGTCTAGGGCTAGGGCTAGGGCTACTCTTCCGTAATGCTCAATGATCTAAGTGGAGAGGCTGTTAAAATAGGCGCAGCAATGTTATCATCGCTTAATAAATCATCCAAAAAATATGTTGAATGGAATGATTAATCGTATTCAGATGGTTGAAAAAGAGTCGACTCAGAGTGCGCAGACGACAGCGAATGATCCAGAATGGTCATCAGCATCGAATGCATCCACACCCGTCGCATCCAACCAACAACAACACCATCAACAAGTGACTCATCATGACCCAGTGGAGACACCGCATCAGAAACAACTACTCAATTTGGTGTTCAGATCAATGAAGCGCACACACGATTTCTTCTTTCACGACTATCACAACGCTTATCCGACGGATCCAAAAGCGTTCGTTTCCTCTCGATTCATTCATCTCAGTAGATGTCATACACGGTCCATGACCCCGCCGCTGTCTCACCACTCCAATCAACGGTTTTATCGGATAACTGCGAGCTTCATCGATTCATTGCGTCCGAAGTATCCTTATGGAAACCTAGCGACTTAGTGGGCAACAGTTATCGTGTAGAGAATCTGTCGATCCGTTGGGTACAAGATGGTGTAGTCGGTGAAATATATTTTCGTGAGTATACGTTGGCAAATGGGCCAAAAATGCAGCCAAAAGCGGGATCAGTTGCAAGACTAACACCCAACCCTCAAACCAATCCCTCAATCTTTAAAATGTTTAGCAGACTGAAAAATGCAAAGTAGAAACTTAGACTAGAACAGCGAAAATAGTCTCAAAACTTTACTTTCTCTGGATTCTTTCCATTCGCTGGAATCCATCTTTAGTCCTTCCGAAAGTATTTCCCTGTTTTTGAAGTGTAGTGTGTAGATATACTTTTTGGCTTGTGTAATTTCGATTTTTTTTCCGATTGGTATTTGAGAGGGGAGCAAATTTGGGGTAGAATGATATGATGCGAAGTAATTGTGCGGAATCTTACAAGAGAATGAATGAATAAGGATACGAGAGTCGTATATTTGATACAGATCTAGTTCAAAGCAAAAGTATTATGATGGAGTGAAAGTGCTAGAAGTGGAAATTCATTATGAGTGCTCATATGAGGATTGTTGCTTTGAATTGTTTAGAGAAATGTTTTGATTGGTGATCGCTTTATAGTGATGAGTTGTGGCGATCGGTGAAGGTGAAATGTGAATTCGGCGATGTGCTGAATCATGTCCAAGATGAGAAACGGCGTAAAGAAGATGAAATTCTGAATTTACCAAAGAATGAAACGAACGGCGGCAGCGTTCTCCTCTCGACGCCGTCGAATCAAAATGGTTTTTAATTTTTTCCTTTTTCTTCATTTATTTTTTGGATGATATTTGTCAAGAAAGAACAGTTGTTGAAGTATTTCGTTAACGAATTTATTCTCTGTTTCGCGTTGAAATTCCCTTGAA